CCCAGGCAGCGCTGGAGGGACAGGACGGCATCACCTGCAGTTGGTAAAAAGGAGATGTAGAGCTGTGTGTCATCAGCATACTGGTGACACGACGCTCCGCACCCCCTGATGACGCCAGCCAGCGGCCTCATATAGATGTTGAACAGCATTGGGGAGAGAATCGACCCCTGTGAAACCCCACAATGGGAACTCCACGGGGCCGAGATATTCTCCCCAAGCTGAACTCTCTGGGGGCGGTCCTCCAAGAAGGAACGGAGCCAGGCTAACACCAAGCCACCAATTCCCAACTCGGAGAGCCTCCCCAGGAGGATACCGTGGTCGACAGTATCAAAGGCCGCCGAGATGTTGAGGAGGACCAACAGAGACATTTTGCCCCTGTCAGCCTCCCTCAACAAGTCATCATACAGGGTGACCAATGCCGTCTCTGTACCGTGGTGCGGCCTGAAGCCCGACTGGAATGGATCCAGGGCATCTGTTTCATCCAAGTGCACCTGAAGCTGATCTGCCACCCCCTCTCCACCACTTTGCTCAAAAAGGATCTCCATCACTGCTCTAGACCCTCCAATTTCCCCTCCAGTAATGTGATGAGGTTGCATTTAGTGCAGGTGTAATTGGAGTCTTCCTCAGGCAGAAATACAAACATAGGGCACAGCTTGCAGGTTACCACAGTCAATGTCCCTCATGTCTGGGGGATCCGAGTGGCCCCTCAAAATAAACAGTCTGTGTAGGGTCAAACCTCCTGCCTGCTTGTACAAGAGTGTTTTAACACTCCCAGATTTCTTATATATGGCTTATCAATTAAAACAAGGAGGGAATGATGATATTGGGGACGGTGAGGGGAGAGTGTCTCCTGTTTTCTTTATCACCTGTGGAACCTCTGCCTGTTACAAAGGACTCAGAGGGCTTTGGAGCAATTTTTTTACAAAGCAAGGGGGGTGCTTCTACTGAATGAACCCCAAAGGGTTTGTGAGCATGAAAGTGTAAGATGCTGAAGGACCCTTCCACGAGACCCCAGACCGGTATTCTTCTAAAATGGGTGCCTGTGCAAAAATAAAATATATAGTTTGCTTTTTTCTATCTCGTTGAGATTGGTGCTAGGAAAGTACCTGTTTGCTGCAAGCCTGAGGAACTTGGACAGGTGGGGGTCCGCCTGTCTTCCGCGCCTGCGCACAAAAGGAAGGCCCAAGGGAGCCGCCCCCCCCCCGCGTGAGGGGAAAGCGGAGGTCGTTCTTCCTTCCCGCCCTTTTCCCCCTCTCCCTCCCCTCATTCCTCGAAGTGGGCGGTTGGGGGAAGGGGTTTTAGGTTGAAGAGGTGAGGGGGGCCCCAGTTCTGCCCCCACCGCCTCTCCTCAGCCCAACCCCTGCAGAGAAAAAAAAGGGGGGTCGTCGTTGCCCCCCCATAAGGAGCCTGGCCAGGAAAGGCGGCTGAGAAAGGGGGGGCTTGAAAGGGGGGCGGTCGGTCCTCCCATGACTCGGGGTCGCCCAGAGGCTTCTTGCCTCCGCCCATCATCCTCACATGCCTCTCTTCGCGGGCGTGGGGGGGTCGGAATCAGAAGGCTTCCCCTCCCTTGATCGGGACCC